TTGAAAGGGAAACTGGGAGAAGGGGGAGTCAAGACAGAGGAAAAAAGTCATCCAATAAAAAGATCCAGTTGAATAGGCACACAGTTAAGAATACGATTGTGTAAATTTGTCAGATATTTAAAACATCTTTGCTAATGTTTCATTTTATTACCTCTAAACATTTTTCCTTTCCATGACTATTCTGATGCTTAGAAGTACTTGAAATTCATATAAATGGTAAGTTAGGTTTTGGAGGAAACAGAGCCGAGGGTATTACCGTTTTACACGCAGTTAAGTTGAAATTGTTAAGTAGACTGATCCCTATTATAGTAAGCTTCCGGGGAAGGTTACTCCCAACAGATGTTCTGAAACTGTTGATTCCCTCGCTTTTTTTTCCAGAGGGAGGATTTCTGGAACACGCTAAAGGCAGTGAGTGAGTTGATGTCTTAGTGACAAAAGCTAGATTTCTGTCAGTAGCTTTCATTAAGGTTAGTGTTTTGGCCTGTGTCATCATCATGGCCATAGATTTAGTTTCGGATTAGGAATGCTAATCCACATGTAAATATTCTCCCTGATCCGCACATGTTTACCAAACCGATTACATTTTTAATGTCCCTGTTAACTTCTCTTGTTATCCTTAACTAATTTTTAAGAGATGAGAACAAACTCACATTTGTGTCTTTCCTAGTCAGTTCAACTTCTAACCAGGTAGTCCATCAACGCCTAGCCCCCAGACCCAGCACGGACAATCCGGAAATCTCCTGATCTCGCCTCAACTCTCAGGACAGGGCCTTTTGTGTGCACAACTCTCACGAACTGAAGAGCCTGACTAACTTAGGAAAGAGATAATAAAACGTCTCCCCAAACGGTAATTGTTCATTTCAGGGCACACTTCAGGGATGTTTTTAAGCCAGGGCTGCATCTGATGGCGGCAGGGAGGATAGGAACCGTCCCCAAATGTGGAGGCTTATCACCCGGAGATGCCTCCAGCGGAGCTGACAAATCTCTGAAGTGGGAAATAGTTTTCCCTCCACAGGGCCTCGGCGTGTGAGGGGAGGAGGGGGATGGGCAGGGGCCATCAGGGGAGAAGTCTCCGGCCTTTCGACGTCTCTCAACACCATCCCTCCCCCACCCCGCCTCCTCCTTCCCCGAATCCCAAACAAGCCCAGGGTGGGGGGCGCAGAGGGGCCCCCGGGGCAGGCCGGGCCGGGAGGCTCGGCCTTTGTGGCTCCGTCCTCGACGGTGGCGGGGAGGCAGAGGGGGCGGGGACGCGGGCCGGAGACCCTCAGCCGGGGCTTGACCCCCAGGTGCATTGTCCGGCGGGGACCGCCCCCTCCCCCCGGGGCCGCGACCCGGCCGCCACCGGGCCCCCTCCCAGCGTCTCCCTCCGCGGGCCGCGCCGACCTCGCGGTCCCCAGACCAGGGGCCAGATGTAGAAAGTAGTCCCCAGGCCGGCAGCGGCGGCGCTGTCCACTCCGCCGCCCCCGCCCCCTCCAGCCGCCGCCTCACTCCGCCCCCGGGCCGGACTCTCGGGCCCCCCGCCTCCCGCGAGCGGGTGTCCGTGCGCCGGCCTCGTCGCGACCGCAGAGACGAGCCTCCGGCCGCGCCACGCCACGCCGGTGCCCGAGCAGAGAAGCCCAGGCTGCGCGCGTCCAGCCGCCGCGCGGGGAGCGCCCGGAGGCGGGGGCCGGCAGGCGGACAGCAGCCGCGGGGCAGCCGGGGAGCATGCCCGCGCAGCCCCGCTGAATGGCGCCTTCTCCGCGACCCCTCGCCCGGCCGCAGCCGCCGGGGATGCTGCTCGGCGCGCTCCTGCTCCTGCTGCTCCTCGGCTCCCTTCCAGGTGGGCGCGCTTGCTTCTGCGTTTCTCCTGCGCGGGTGGGGCGTGAGCAGGCGCGCGTGGGCTGGGAAGGGGGGCAACCGGGGCGGGAGGGTGTTTGGCGGGGGACGGCGGGGTCCTCTGCCGGAGCGCTGACCGATCCCCCCGTCGCTGCCCCCTCCCTGCGGCCAGTCAGGAGCCGCTGCTGGAAGCGCGAGGTGCCCGCGGGCTTTGCGGGGGCGCGGGCGGCGGTGGGCGCCTGTGCCAGTGCCCGCCCCTCCCCGCTGCGCTCCCCCGGCCGCAGGCTGCAGGGCCGGCGTCCGCTGTCCACTGTCGCCCCTTTCTCTTCGCGCCATTGTCCGCGTTCCGGCCGAGTCCTCGCCTCCGTGGCCAGCCCGGGCCCCGCGCCCGCCGGGGCTGCCGCGGCCGCACGTGGCTTTATTTATATTGTTTCCTTAGTGGCAGCCTCGCCGCGCAGGGGGCGCCGCGTTTCCGCGCGGCTTCCCCTCTTTGCAGTGGGGGTTCACCCACGTTTTAGGGCAGGGGGGAGAATGGGCGAACTCAGCGCCCAGGTCAGACCCCTAAGTGCCCCCACTTTTCCGGATCCAGCGAGGAGGGGTGGAATTGGAAAAAGAGGGTTGGACGTTTTGTGGCCCATTTGTGCCCCGGAAGGGCGCGAGAAACGTCCCAAAACTGAGAAGGAAGGTATCTAAGCAGGATTTATTTCTCACAGCCAGGTATTTTGAGGCAGGGCCTGAGATGTGTACGAATCTGAAGATCCCCTTCAAACTCCAGGTTGGCCTTGCGCAAACTTGAATGAACTAATTTTTCTCTTTTGCATCTGTGTTGCTTTATCCTCAGAAAGTTAAAAAGTGTAAAGTGGATGGAGGGGAGGTGTTCAGGAGAATGGGTTATTTTACTTATTTACAGGTTAGAAACCCCAGACTTTTCGTGGGGTTTTTTGGGTTGGCTTGTTTGTTTTCTGGAGGAGTTAGTTTTCTGTTAGCGTGAGAAAAGGATCAAAGTCAGATGTGACTCGGAAACACAATGGGCGCCTTCCGGAGTGGTCCTCGAAGCGCGGGGCTGCTAGAGTCGCTCGCGTCGCCCTGGGCATCCATTAGAAGTCGGCAGCCCGGGCGTGGGAGCGTGACTAGTGTGTGAGGCTTGGAGGACCTGCCTTGATGAGAAACAGATCAGTTCCAAGGATTTGTAATCATGAATTCAAGACAATCAGAAGGAAGATTAAATGTCTCCCTTCCCTACCCCCACCCCCCAATCCCCTAATACTCTCCTCGGCCCCAATCAATATGCAAGACTTTAGCTGACCTTTCCGCTAAATGCAGGAGGTGACGGGGTTATTAGCTGGTCATCGGATGCTTTATCCTAGAGGGAACCGGACGATGTGTATGCTTAGAATAAAGCTTTTCCTCTGCTCTGATAAAAATGTGTATTGGTTGATTAAGCAATCTCCTGTCTCTATTAGACAGTAAGGACCAATTAGTCACGCATTTTTTCCAGCAGTTGGTAGTTCTAAAAAAATGAAATAAAAGTTTCCTAATCCGATCACCCACTGAGTACAAGCAGCAAGAGTTACCAACTTTTCAAAGTCAACTGTTTGTCCTTTAAATACCTACCATACTCTGCAGAAATTAAGTAAATGGCTCTCTTTCAAGGAGAGGAGACAGAGTCCTTGCTGTAAAAAGGCAGATATAAAAGTGCAAACCTGTAATTTGTCACAAAAGATAAACGTACTTCCCAAAGGAGTAGATGCCAAGGGTTCCAAAAACTCTTCAAGGGACAAGGAAATAAACTTGCTTGTTCACAGAGTCAGAGTTTTGCTAATGATTTCTTGTAAAATTAGACTTTTACGACTTACTCTGTTCAAGATCTTTTTGACAAGCTTGTAAAAGTGGCCAACAGCTTGTGCTCAAGAGTTTTCCTGATGATTTTGAAACTCTGGTAAGGCACTTGAGAACAGAATTCTTAAAGGACATAGAAGTTATTGAAATCTTTCCTATGCTTTTAGTGTAAAGCATGTTGTAAAAAGATTTCTCTGATTTGTTGAGAAGGTTTGCTGAAACTTAGATTGGTTTGTTAAGTAAGGTATTTGTAAGTTAACTAATATGGTGGTTCAACTTTGTCTCATTACATCCTGAATATGTGTTTTACAGTTGTGTGTTAAGAAATGATTTTATATGGATAATTCTGGGTATGCCTTTCCCCCTTTTTCCTTGTAGGAGTATGGTGCTTTAGCGAACTGTTTTTTATAAAAGAACCGCAGGATATAACTGTCACAAGAAAGGACCCAGTCATTTTAGATTGCCAGGCTCATGGAGAAGTTCCTATTAAAGTCACTTGGTTGAAAAATGGAGCAAAAGTGTCTGAAAATAAGCGGATCCAGGTTCTGTCCAACGGTTCTTTATACATCAGTGAGGTGGAAGGCAAGCGAGGAGAGCAGTCTGATGAAGGATTTTATCAGTGCTTGGCAATGAACAAATTTGGAGCCATTCTTAGTCAAAAAGCTCATCTTACCTTATCAAGTAAGTGTTTATGTTTTTGATTGTTTGACATTTTTCACTGCTAACATTTTGATAATTTCTTGATTCATTAATATGCTAACCCCCCATAATCATACGAACGTTAAGAATTTTCTGGAGGTAGTAGCTGGTGCTAAGACACGCAGAAAAATTTGAAGAAAACGTATATAGATATAAATTCGAATGAGTGATTAAGAACAAAAGTCATATTAGGTTTAGAACACCAAAACCTATATAAAGGTGACTATGTATAAATTTAAGTGTTTCAAACTATGAAAAGAGTTGGGTGAAAAGTTTGGCCAACAGGACAAAATCTCGTCTTTTGTAAATTAATAACTAAATTTTGAAAATCACAAGCAACTCTTTCTGCTTTGTAGATGGCCCTTAAAAGTTAAATCATTCATATAGCCTAACCTTCCATTTCTCTGACTGCTTTAAGATCACCCATGTTGCTTTTTAATTGTAAGAGAGGGCATTGATCAGTAACTCTCAAGCCTTTGAAGTATTTCTAGGCTTTTCCTGCTGGGAGAGAAAGAGATTAAGACCATTTCCATGTTATGCCTCATGGACTTAAACCAGATCTGCTCACTTTTTCCCATTTGTCATAAAGTTTGCTGTCTAATGGTTTCCTTTGTATTAACAACGCCCTCAGATCAACCATTTGTCCAAGTGATCCACTGCTTGGTGGTTGACCTGATAGCTGTTGAGTGTACACATGGGCCCAGGAGAGTTAGGGAACGTCTTGTTTCCCTGAGGCTTTTCACCTCTTCAGGTGATCAGATACCCAGCACTTAAGATTACAATAAACAATTTCCATCTTAAAACAAAACACAACACAACTGTATCTTAAGAATAGTTTTACAGGCATCCTAGATACAAGTTTTTGTTAATCCACGAAAGATAGCACTTTTTTACACTATACCTGGAAATTGATCATTTGCAAGTTGAACAATAGGGGGAGAGAGCTCTTGAGATAAAGGCATAATCTTTAGGAAATAGTCTCTTCAAGGTCTTCACAGTTGAAATTTAGGAAGCTGTTGGTGGGGGTTTCCTGGGTGACTTTATTGTAATAGTCCATGGCCATATTTGTGCCACCCTCATTTTAGTAATTTGGACAGTAATAATAGTAGAAAATAAATTGCAAGAAAGATATTTTACATTGAAATATGTCAGAAAAGTAGAGAAGTTGCTAAATCTAACACCCCCCCAAGAATAGCGTAAATCTGAGAGAATATCTGATAAGCTAGCTTGCTTGCTTTTTTTTTTTGTCTGTAGTCATTGGCCAGTAATTATTTTTTGTTGCTGTTGAGTAGTGGTTTTTCAGTACAGTATTGTTTTCAGGATAGTGTGCTTTTTCACACTTACATTCTATTCACTTAATTTTTTGTCTAATGTAAAATTGTCCTATAGAGTTGTAATTCCCCCCCCCCCTTTTGGGTTTGTGGAATCCTGTGTTTTCATATCCAGGACCTGTAACTTGTATTACCTTCCTGGAGAGGAGAAGGGCAGGATGGAAAGATGGAGGGGGGCCTTGAAAGGTGAAGCATTTGTCATGACCACAGGGTATTTCCAGGACCTCCTTAGAAGCCTGACAAAATTCTCGAGCACTCAGAAATATTTTGAAAACACACAGAGCTTTCTGACTTCATAAATAAATTCTAAACAGTATAACAAATGTTAATAACACTGAAACAGATATTGGTATTGGCTTTTTGAGTAGCTTTAGATTTGGTATCTTTATAAAAATTGATAACAAATATTTTGAAGGCTATTATGGTGAAGGAGTTTTCATATTTTAAGGATCAGAAACTCAGTTAAATTATATAGAACATTGCTATTAAATATCAGCTGTAGGTGATTAGTTGTAGGAACCACATTTTTCATATGCATGTATTTTATTTAACTTGGAGGAGGAACTTTGCTAGGAAATTGCATCCAGTATTATAGATTTAAAATGAAAAATTCATAGTGTGTTTAGATTTTTCTTTAGAAGTAGATTTCTTAAAGATTTAAAATTAACAGAGTTAGTTCTGATACTGAGAAGTAATGTCCAGTGACACTGTAGGCTCAAATGTCTTTATCCTGGTAAAGATGTGATACATAATAAACAGGAAGAGAATAGGCATTAAGTGGACATTCTGGTTTTTGTGTTTGTTTTTTTTTTAAGGCTTGTTCTCTCCTAGTTATTGATAACAGCAGGGGGCAAGTATGTTCTTTTTATTTTGTGGTCAAGGATTTTGTCAGCAAACATATCTTTTAGTTCTGAAGTATAATAAGTAGTACAGCACCTAGAAATCTAAAACTTTAATCTGTGCAAGTTTTAGATTTTTAACACAGGCAATCAAGTCTTGGTTTCTAAACTTAGGAACTAGAAGCTGAAAGTTGCACTCTAGGCAAGAATTCCATTATTCATGTGTAAATTAGGAATTCACAGGGTTAAAAGGTTAGAAACTGGCCAGGATGAGGTTTACCCTTGTGATAAAGAGCAGATGACCCTCATTCATTGGCCAAAGCTTTCATGTAGCTCTTCTGCAAAGTTAGTTATTGCCATGAATTGTTCTTGAGGAATGCAGAAATTCAAATGTGAACAGGCCTTTCCTTAAGTGTCACTGTGGAGCCTTATCTCCCAAGCACATCAGAGCCGGCTGTGGGGACAAGGTTCCTCCCCAAAGGCCTGGAGGCTTTGCTTTCCTGTTGTTCATCCATGCACAAAAGAATTTGTCTAACTTAGTTTTTCTAAAGCATCCCATTTTTAAAGGAAAGTATAGGGTTAAAGTAATATTTAGTTTTTCACAAAAAGTTAATCCCCCTTATTGATAGCCATTTTAGCTGTTTTACATTTTCATGTAATTAGAATAGGAAGGGAAGTGATCTGGGAGGCCCTTTTTCTAGTTGCATACAATAGTAAGCACAGATGAAACCATTTCCTATAAATTGCAGTACTTTCAACTTTAGGCAAATCAAAATTTCACTTTCATAGGTGCTAAGTCTTCACTATATAAATAATTTAATACAAATATCTTAGGAGTAAGAAATAATCCATGACATCTTGACATTTCTTGCATTCAAATGTTGAAGTAAGAAAGATAAATTTCATAGGAAAGCATTAGTGTGGTTGAACATTCTCATATTTCAACAAGTTTAAATTAAGATAAGAGACATTGGAGAGAAGTAAAGGAGGAGGTGGGTAGTGTTCTGTGATGTGTAAAGAACTGGCCGTAAGCTAGTGATTGAACAGCAAGCTGGTTGTTTATTTCCTTTCCATAAAAGGTGGAAATTGAAGTCTTAGGATAGAGGCAAAGAGAACATAAAGCTGATTTATATTTGTTAGATTTTTCAGGACTTTTCACTTGGGTACGAAATAGTTTTTAAAATGAGCATCTGTAGCTGAAAGACCGTAGGAATTATTATAATTCTATGATAGATATTTCCCCCCAAATTTTGAGGTTAGTTCAAACATCCATAAAATTGTTTAAGGGGCTTCATCTCTATAACTTTATTTAGCCATAATCATTTCCCTTAAAAGGATGTAGGTGGTTTTCCATGAATAAAATGTTTATCACTTCAGTTTGAGATGAAACTTGAGGTTTTTTGCTGAGATTAATGAAAAACTGTTCTGTGATTGTGGTTCCTATCTTAAAGAGTAATACATAAATTATAGCTCAAAGCTGATCTTGAAATGTGAAGTTAAAACATTGAAAACACTTAAAGTCATGTTAGACAGAAAAGAGGGTGGGTGGTGTATTGAAAAGAGAAAGATAAAAAACTATGAGACTATTATGCTAGATCTTGAATTTTATTAATGATCCTGGACCCAAGATGGGCAAGATTTTGCTTCATTGTCAACTTTTTCTTGAGATTTGCAGATGCTCTGAGGACAGCGCCTCTTACTTGTGTGCATGTTTACTTCAAATCAAGCTATTAACAGTTACTTGCCCTAATTCAAGAGTGCTCACATAAAAGTAAAAGTTGTTTGATTTTGGAAAAATAAGATAGAACTGAGGTATTTAGAGAGGCCAATCCTTCAGCATTGTAGATAAGGTTCAGATGATGCTTTCTGGGGTCCAGGAAAAAAAAGAGAAAGGGGTATGGTTCAAAAGTACACATTTAACTTAAAAGTTGACCATCTTATAAAATTCCATACATTAAGTCAGGGAAGTAAAAGCATATCTAGTTCCACAGGCTTATTTACAGTGACACTTGGTTCTTAAAGTCAGCCTGCCTAAAAGATTTATCAGGTACTTGATAATTTCTGGGTAATGGAACCAGTTTTTCCCACTTTGCACTTAGTTAGTGAGGCTCATTTCTCATCTTC